TCGTTTATCGTCCGAAAACGTATACAATGAGAGACCGGAGGTGATTAAGTAATTTATAAATTACTATTAATAAATATATATATACGGGAGGAAAATCATATTGTAATTGGGGCTCACGGACACCGGGACGCCGCCTACAGTTAATGTGTATGATGATAAAGTCTGAAATGGAAATCGAACCACCTTTTGTGCGCTCCGAAGATCGAACGGTTTCGCAAAAAACTCATAGAAAAACTAGTTCATCATAGTATTATTATTATTATAATGACTATATATTCGCGGAGTATTAATAATATAATAACCGTACCGTTGTCGTTTTTACGGTGCAGGCTTTCGTCTGGAATGAGAGACGATGCACAAGAACCCCAAGCCAACGGAGGTCTGTAATCCGTATACATATTGTGACGGTCATGTGTATACAGACTACAGAGTGTCCATGGTGTTTGTTCTGGTACGTATAGTATCTTCGCTCGTCGAATTACCTACATAACATTTATCTATAGATCATAACATATACCAACTATACTATCCAGTGTACTCCGCATGTAGTCATTTCTAAAGTCTTGGCATTTTTTCCATACAGTATATGATTAGTTCTATACAAATCGCGGGCTATATTTTAAGAAACGCGAAAAGAACCATGTGAAATTGTAGTTTTTAATTTGGAAAACAAAAAAATTCAAACAAAAAAATCTTCAGACGTTGAGGACCACAATAATGTAAAAAAATATTCGATTATAATATGATAATAATAATACATCATCACACAGCGGGCTGCAGTTGTAGACCTCGTGCGGGCAAATCGCCCTGTGTACATGCGAATTTGCAGAATAAATTACATAATAATATCATATAGATTCTGCTGCATGTGCAGCGGGTATGCAATTTGTCGGCCGATGCTTCGTTGCACGGCGACGCGAAAACCATAATTTCGTCGTGTATAATATCATACATTACACATGCATATTATAACTTATAAGTCGTGTCGTGTGTTTATCGCGTGTACCGTAGGTATACATCGTACCATGTACAAACGTTTAAGTCTCCGTGCGCGACTGCTGCAGCAACTGCAGACATCGGAGACGTGTCATGAGGTCGAACGGGCGGACGCACGGGATCCCGATGATAAAACGTGTTAAAAATGAAAAATACACGTCTGCGGGTTTGGACACCGTCCAAGAGAATAATATTATACAACGATCGTCGTTTATAATATTATTATTGTATGTGGGTACGTTTACACTGTACACGAACGGCGGTATTGGTTTTGCACTTTGGTGTTGTGCCAGCAGCAGCAGCAGACCGACGATGGCGACGGATGTATACGAATACCGGTGCTATGCCGCTGCTGTATATTATTATTATTATTATTATGTGCCCATACACATCACGCGGTCGTCGATTTTAGCTACCGAATTCGGTAACACATAGTATATCAATAATAATGTAATATTGTTAAGTTATGATCGTAAAATAGGTCCCACGTTGTGGATTTATTGAACCTTATAGAATCGCTGGCGACGAGCATGTGTACAAGTATCAGTAAGGATTTTAGTTCGGTTATTAGGGTTTCATCCAAGTAAATACTTTACATTATTTTTTTCTAAACTGCAGTTTTTTATATAGTTGGTTATAACAAATTATATAGTTGGTCTCAAATGAAGTCTACATTAAGAACACTCGAGTGTTAAACCCGGACACCTATAATGATCATCTATATAGAGCCTCTTCGAGTCTTAATATACGTGGTAATAATCGATGGACGATGATATACTTGATGATACACCACGCGACGATTATGACAGACCTTTAGCGATGTTCTAAATCAGCCAAAAAACTGAAACTACGATTATCGACGTCTTTGTCATGTTTAACAATTTATATTATATCTATAAAAAATCCTAAACAATTGATCGACTCTGTGTTTGAAATGGTGGTAAATATGATTTTTTTGTCAACGGTAGAAATGTCAGGGGGGGGTCAGAACCCTAGAACCCTACCCCTGCGAACCCCACTGACAATTAGTATTATATCAGTGTCTATTCCAGAAATGTGCAGACTTTTCGTCAATCGCTTTTCGATTCGGAAGCCCATTGGACAGTCCGAATACTGTATTCTCATGGCGCAGAAGCCAACTCGGAATTCGGTCTCAGACGTTTCTCGTCCGCACGGTATAGTGTGATGTGAATATGTGATGCGACGGACGATATCCACGCCCGGGAAAGAACAAACCGATCGTTTTTCTGTACAGAAACTCGAGGGAATTGTCGGTCGGCCATTACCGAACCGACGAAAAAAATATCGTGTCCTTAGGAGGTACCCATAAATAATTTCCTAACGGGTCCCGCCGACGGATATAACGGTGACGTGTGTCGGTGGTGAGTGTCACCAGATACCAGAAAATAATGGGTTCCAGTTTTGAAATGACAGATAATATTATGTGTTTATACACGATCGTTATAATTACATAGGTATTGAAGTGTGTTATCATCATAGGTATTATAGTTATTACGTCACTCCACAGACGGTGTTTGTGCGGTATGATAAAAATTGAAATAATTATACGCTCGCCCTTGAAACGCGCATGCATTTGTGTGTGAAGATCCTATATTATATGGCATGGTTAAAAATTATGAAGTACCTACCCGATGCCTATATATTGTGTGTAATAACATATAATGTATAAAGTGCCTATTATCTGTTCATTGTCCTCTATACGAGTCATTGTTTCCATATCATTATTATCATGTTTATCGAGCACACGCGCACAGAGTGGTAGCCGGTTTTAAAACGAAATCCGTATATATATATTATAGGTAGGTATATGATACTAAAAGCATATTTTAATTTGATACGCTTTAATAATAATAACGTTCTTATAATTACTGATTTTTCTTACAAGGCGAACGGTTTTCGAAACGTCTTTGCCTAGCGTTATAGTAGTATTACCCATATAAGGTATATAAGTACCCGGGACCGTAAAGGATTTCTGATCGTTTTGCGTAGATAAATAATATATAGTAATGCTCACATTTGGAACGCCACGGTTTCTTGTCGAAAATCGTACAGTACTGTCGGTACTATTATAAAATGCCATAGTTGCACATCATTATTTATTACCGTTAATCGTTGTAGTGTACAATATATAATACTCACTCAATATTCACCTACAAAGTTTTTGTACACACATAATATTATATGGTAAGCATATGGTACGAAATCGTCGTGACATATAAATTAGGTAAGAAAGAAAAATCATTGCCATAATTATATATTGTATGTTATCATAATAAAACATTATATACTGTAAACATCGTAACATAATAATTATTATTGTTGTGTTGTGATATTTGCAGTGATTCCAGTTATTGCATTTGCAAGATTTCCTAGTTTCTTAACCTTCATCGAGGTTTTAATAACTGTAATAGCAGTTGAGAATATATATTATATTTAATTCGAAGTCATATAAAAGGCATCTAACAAAATAATGCAAATTTACTTTAAAAAATACGTCAAATCAAATCAATTGACATAAAATATATGGAGAATAGTATTGCAGTTGATATTTTGAAGCGATGAGGAATGCTAGCTAATAGCTAATACTAGTATTGCTACGAACTTGATGGCTTCACCGATCTCCGGTCAAAATAATTGTTTTTCTCTTTTTTTTAATGGGATTCTATTTTTGTTATCCGTCTGAGATGAATGTTATATTATAACAGAGTTGGTAACGTTTCGTCGACGATGTGAAGATTAGAAAGATTAGAAATTATTATTGCGTATAGTGTACAAAACAGATATTTTCACGCGCTCTTGCTCCGGACCTCAGATATTATATAATACATAATTTTGTGAAGGAAGATTCGTTGTTTGCGTGCACATATCGTATCTATCTTTACATTGTAAACATTTCGTTTTATCCACAATCAAAGCATCAGTTTAGAATCTCAAACTTATGAAGTATCATTACTTTTAAAACCGTTTACAGGTTATCATGTGATTACGATTCGAATTAATTCCCTCGATTGTCTTGACTTTATAGTCTCGGTCTCCAAGCATAGTATAAATTTCATTTTATATGTACCAAATCTGCAGATAATCCAAAAATCGCATAGCTATATGCTTAAAACACGCGGTTTGCCTGTTCGGACGTATAACGATATAACACCGAAGGGCCATAGATCGGTCAATGTGTCGAACTAAAATACGTTTTTATCGACATCCGGAAAGCGAAAGTGTGCAACACATCAACTGTACTTGCGTATACAGAACATTATAATATTAACAATTACACCTATAGCAAGAAGAGTATATATCTATAGCGAATGGAAACGTATAAACATATTATATCCGCATGTGTGTTCACGGAGCGTGGAATATAATAATAATATATTCATCCATATTTATGATTGCGATTATACGCCTTGTTATACTTTTGTGTGTGTGTGTGTGTGTGTGCCTTCTGCTCACACCTTTACTATGACGGCCATAGGACGAAACTCTTCTTCCGGTTATAATAATACCTACCTATATGTTTTTACCACTTACGTATTATATAATATATCATAAACAATACAGATTCGGACGCACATAAAGACGCGGTAGTCGCATATTATACGTCGTTAAATATTATACTCGTCTAATTACACGCAGAAAAATTTGCGTTATCGTTCAATTATAATGCTTAGGTATATAACATTGCTACTGCGCCACGCGATATCACTATGTATACACGCCACCGTGTGTTATAATACTATTATTATAGAGTTAACTTCACGCGCCGATCGTCTTTAGGTATATGGCCAAATAGTAAAACACATATTATCGCATACACTTCCTTCCGTGTGACGTGCGCAGCAGCTGCAGCGAATTGTATCGCGCATATAGCTATATACACAATATAATTATTATTATAACGTTCAGCGGGTGTGTACGAGCGTGTAACACTCGCGTTTAGTCATATTATTATATAATTTATTATTTCGTTTGTAAATTTGCAGCCTGGCGACGACAGCGGTGCCCGTTTATCCCGGATGACCGGCGACCACGGAAGACGTCTGTAACGCACCCGCAACCCCAACACCCACCACCGCGGGTCCGGTCTCGAATTGCCGCCATGGTAATACTATCGACATGGAGTTTCATCAGCATCACAGCGTTCGCGTCGCAAATATTTGCCAACACGGTAATTACTGCAAAAACAAGATATCATACATATTTATACTATATATATATATTATAGGTATATAGGTACTATATAATGGTCTTCGCATTATTATAGACACTGCAGGGTTTAATATTTCGAGGATTGTTATAATATGATATTATCCATTTATTATCATATCAGTATGAACCTACCTATATTATAGTCAAAACAAAAAGCCTCCTCACCATATTTTTAGTCTGCTGCAGAGGGGTTATCGCATATTGTGATTCGATTGACATTATTCAAATATTGGTGGGTTGACTGTTATACCTAATCTGTTGATCTGTGAAATTTTATTTGGATTTTTAGATTTGCATGTATCTTGACAGAGATGATTTTCCTCATATTCGTAAACGACTATAAATATAAATATAAAAATAATAATATAAATAATTCGTCATTATAGGTTGAGATTAAAAATACGGATATGTTGCACAAGTTATCACAAATTGTATTTATTTTATTAATTAGGCGTCTTGTCGCAATTTTAAACTTTTTGATACAAAAATATCTTACATTTATGATTTACATATTGTTCTGTGTTTCCGAGCTTTCAATTATTATATTAGTTACATCGTATATAATAATAATAAAAAGTTGAAAAAAACCGTTTTAAAAATTACGTGATCTCGTAATTGCTGACCTGAGTGACAATAAGACATAAGTATATAATAATATTATATTATACGCGTGCGTAGTTGGTCACAGGGGGCGTCGCCGGGTCTGGTGTCTCCTTCATCCCTTCTTCTCACCCCCTCTACGTCAACAGGTTACATCTTATAAGAAACGCTAATATTATTATTATATCAGTTATATCGTTTTACGTATATAATATAATATAGAGTTGGAAAAAAACTATTTTAAAAATTACGTGATCTCGTAATTGCTGACCTGAGTGACAATAAGTATATTATAATATTATATTATATGCGTGCTTAGTTGGTCACAGGGGGCGTCGCCGGGTCGGGCGTCTCCTTCATCCCTTCTTCTCACCCCTCTACGTCAACAGGTTACATATTATAGGAAACGCGTACATGTGATGTATGTGTATATGAATATAATATACCATTCGAACGAAAACGCGACAAACTAGTTGGTTCGTATTACACAGAAATTGGTTCATATCGCGCCGCAGGTGTCTATACCTCTATACATTATATTATGTATATTAACATCGTAAAACAACGCTTTTTTTTACCATATCGTTACCATACCTACCGCCACCGCCTGCCGCGATATTAAGTGTGTGTGTGTGTGTGTGTGTTTTTTACCGCCGACAGCAGGCTTACAATCCGCGTGCGCCGCCGGTCGGGTTTTTTTACGCAAGTGGCAGTTGTAGTGATCTACTTAGGGAATATTATAGGCATGATAATAATATTATCGTTGTACACACGTAGGTACGTACTGCTATAATAATAAGATATAAATTGTATACGACGTAATCGCGGCAACCGATTCGATCGAGATATTTTATTATAACTCGAATAATAATATAATACATAATAATATTATATGAAATACACGACGTCAAAAACCGAAACTGGGCCCGGTACATGGTCGTTACAGCAGGGCGATTGCGTCAAACCCGGCACACATTTATCGCATACACCGTAATATATAACACGCGTATATATATCATATTGTGTACCTATATTATATACCTTTAGGTACACCCGCAGCGGTCGTGACTCGCGAGTTCGCAGTACATATATAATAATATTATTATATCGGCGAAAACGAAAAAAACCAATTCCAATCTAATACAGCTAGGTTCCTATATAATATAATAACAATATATCATTTTGTTATAATATTATATTGTAACACCCACGTCGTCGGTAGGTAAAATTATTGTGTTGCCAAACGTCCGCCCGCAAGTCTCGATCGGGACACGCGACTCGCGAACAATCATATTCGAAACGAAACGAAACATTCCAACGTTGCGGTAAATCGTCGTCGAACGTTTTGTCACGATTGACGGCCTCCTGCAGCCACCGCATTGACACCATCTCGGTCGATTGCTTTATTGTTTCAAGGATTGTGTGCGCACGCCAAGTTATCTATCGTCATTCGATTGTAATGTTCATTGTACGTTTAGAGGTGCCTATCGTAGTTTTTTACCGGCGTTTACGATATTACGAAAAAATGATTTTCTATTTCGTTTATCGTATAATAGGCAACAGGTCGACTGCGGCAGTCCTAAATCGACGTAATAATACAGACAACGTCGGCCGTTCAATACCTAATAAATAATAACAATAATAATAATTATTATTATATTATTGTTGGCTAACGAAAACCAACTTACGTCGATCTGCATAATATTATGTTGATATGCCACGGTGGTATATCTCTCTAGAAAAGTTAAATCTATTCAAAACAATGCTGATATATTTCAGTAGTTTTCCTCGTTTTTTATTTAATTTACCTCTAATAATGTAATTATATTATCAACCTTAAATCACAATCACAATAACAATATAAATAGGTAATTAATGTGTAATATAATATAACGTTTCAACCTTAAATTATGTTTGTTTTAATACAATTCTACACGGAAGATGATTTATGATAATTGAAGGCCTTGTTCGGTTACGATTCACGATTATTATCTATATAAAATTAAAATGCGTAAAAGATAAAAAAAAAAAAATAACAATAATAACAATCGACGTATTATAATATTATTCCACAATGCGGCCATGTTACTACTGCGTACACGCATGATACCGTCAATCGGTGTTTGTGTCCGTACCTAATCGTTATAACTTCTTCGACAGTAAGACAATGAGGACCCTGTTTAATACGGATTTCCATAAATTATTGTTCGGCATTATCTATCTTATAATATTACATTTTTTTTTTTTAAATTCATGGCGCCAAACTTTCACCGAACGGTTAATGATCCGAATCGTTGTCTTGTTACATAGACCACGTGGGTGAGTTTGCGCTTTCTGCGGTGTCGTCGACGAGACTATGAATACAATATAAAAGACAGGTTAATAGAGACGTTTCTCAAGGTAGGCGAAAATCCTTGCGGTCGAGATATACGAGTCGGGGTCCTGGTGTTATCAGCTCTTCTGCAGCGGGCTGCACACATGATGAATTCATTATATTATAATTTTGTCAGTTTTTTTTAAGGTCCTTGAGCTCCGTATCATGTAGTACCTACATCCTAAAACAGTTAAATACATACACACACACACACACACACACACATAGTCTTATTATTATGGACATGGACACGGGACGTCATCACCCGCAGCCGCAGCTCTACGTGGCTCTCGACCTTCTATACGGGACGAGGTCGGAGTTTTCGGCCGTAATCCGTCACTCTACTGTTGCAGCCGAACGAAATAATGCTTTTCTCATTGTCCTGGTTTTTTGTGTTTTCGTGATAACAAATAATAACAATAATAATATTATTATTCCGTGTATAGTTTGTCGACCGCGTATAATGCGACGGCGGCAACCGATGATATCCACCCCAAACAATGGGCTGCCGTTGGGGCTAACGAACCTATATATCGTTGCATAGGTACGCACTGACGATGACGCATTGTATACAAGTGTGTATTATGCATGTCGTCGTGTACGCTACGTCTCTACCTATAGAAGACGTAATATATATTTTAATGACGTATTATTGTACGCGCACGGTCCGAATGTCTGATGTCCGATTGTCCGAACAGCGGCCGGCGGGTTTGGTTGAGACACTCATCGTGGTAATAGGTATATCATTCCATACCTATATGCGCCGCATTACACAGTCGGAAAACTCGATCATATAATATATTATGATATCCAGTTGCGTTTCTTATTCAATACACTATTTGTAGACGACTAAATCTTAAAACATTTCTCGACTTAATGTCCTTTTTATAATTTCGATATGCAGAACTTGATGTCAAAATCAAGCTTAAGTGGCCTTCTCGTGTGTCTTTAATAAGGGGCAATATTTAGGCAATATGCAATTCATTGTCTCCACCCATGTCATTTGTGTTAGTCGTCAATGATGAGTAGTGTGAGAGTGATTGTATGCGGGTACCTGGCTACCTACGCTGCACGCACTGAATGTGCACACATGGCAACGCCACCTCCAACCAAAAACAAAATGAGTGATTTTTTGCTCAAAACACGCTTTAAGGGAAAAACTCTCACTCATTGTAGAGAGGTCTGATTTGATTATTTTTTTTTTCGTTAGATAAAACAAATATAATAAAAATAGCAAAATCTTGTGAAGATTGGTCATATTATTCAAAATCGTATTATATGGTTTAGAAATATAATTTTGAAAATCCAAGTCCCATGAGCCCTGTAAGAAGTGTTTCTCTTTTAAAAAAAAAAATAAATTATCGAAATCAGATCACTCTACGAAGCATTGAGAGTTTTTCCTGTAAGGCATGTTTTTGAGCAAAAAAGCAAGTCACGTGCAGGCCCCTTAACAATTTCCGTGTGGACTTGAACTAACGTAGTTACCTAATCCATCTTTTTCGCAAGACATCGGCACATCGCAATATCTTATTGTACTACTTATACATAAAGTACTTATGCCAGGCGATTCAGGGGGGGGGGGTCTATGGGTGCAGCTCGGCTACCCCCTGTCGTCTAAGCCACCAATAAAATAAATTTGTTATTATAAGACTGCAGAAATAAAAGAATATAACCAATTAATTTTTTGAGCACCTCCTGTTAAAATTGTCTAGATCCGTGCCTGCATGACTTGTCTACTTTATATAGAGTTACCATTTTCTAAAGTCTCGGCCGAGAACTTATTTCTACAAGAAATAAAGAAACTAGTTTGCAGTGCGCATATACATATTCGTAGAAATAGTGATTTTTACATTTGTTTCTCTTTTGAATCGAATGTATTAAATTACTGTATATGTAATGATATATTATATCTCTGTCCATAGTGTTACGCAATTGCTGCTTCACATCGCTCGACTGGATGCGTTTTAACGCAACACGTACAAATTTGTGACAACCGTCTGTATAGAGCTGAAATTGGTTATAGGTCCCTATAATAGGGCCAGTGGCGTAGCCAGGATTATGAAATGGGGGGTGTTTAAGTATAGATTAAAACCAAGTTTTTACAGTTTTCGTATATAAATAAATTTAGGGTTCGGGACTTGACTTGTTGCACTAAATATTATCGAAATATGATGCAGTCAAAGTTGTCAAAATATTCTTAAATATATACTACATATTCTTTAATATAAACATACTACAATTTTGGTAATAAAAAACTAAAAAATAAGTAGGTACCTATATAAATAATTTATACACGGGCTTACTAATTTTAATATAGGTAGGTACCTATATTGATTAATGTGATGGACGGAGTACACTATTGCATGTTTTGTACATTTTTAAACTATTGTGAAATAAATCAACTTGATTTTTAAAAATACTGGAATAAAATACTAGGTTAATAAATATGTAATAAAGAATAACGTGATATGCGAACACCGTAATAAACGAACACGTATATCTACTGATTTTCATTTCTTCGTACAATCTAGAATGTAGATGTCAATTATAGTTTTAACACAGTCTTGTTATAAAGAGACTTATAAAATCTTACATACCATAACTATACGAAAATATAGCAAACTGTATAGCCAAGCTCCACCAACAACTTTAACAGCCCTCCCAATCATTTACTAAATTTTTTTAATTCAATTTTATAATAGTATGGTTTTAGGCTTCGGCCTCCCAAAATATCAAAATTAGAGACTATTGTACCTCACCAAACATAAAGATATTTTTCAATGTTATCCAAATATGATTTTTCCCGACAATTGTATGTATCTGCATTTAAGTTAGAAAAATGCAAAATATGAATAAATATGCGAAAAATCGCTCAAATGAACACTTTTAGTAAAATATGCAAATTCAAACTTTGTTTGATTAGACATTTAAAAAATTTCATAAGACAAATTTATAACTTATCTAAAATAATGCGAGGAGTCCCAAACCCTATAAACAATATTTTTATTAGGGAGGAAAATGTCAATGGGGGGTGTTTAAACACCCAAAACCCCCCCCTGGCTACGCCACTGAATAGGGCACCCTATTATATTGTGTCCTTGGTGTCGAGTCGAGTCGATCGTGGGCGGGGGAAACCTATAGCAGACACCCGGTTGCAGGAATAAGTATACCTATAATAGGTTAGGTTAGGTTATAGGTATACCTATTGAACGTGCACAGGTCTAGGATTCCGATATTTCAATCACCAATCGATCGATTCACCGGATCTTTAATCTACGCATTTACCTCAGCCTTATTTTGTGTACTTACAAATCGAGAGTCGGTATACTACCATCATACGTGATTCCGATCGAAACGAGTATACGAATGGATGATTAAAATACGATATCAATATTATTTATTCGTAGGTAATTGTACTCAAATAATAATCGTTTTGTTTTTGATTTCAGTTACACGAGCACATGGACGTGGATGGCCTGAGGACCTTATTTCACGTGGAACACCATTCAGAAGGTACTTATAAGACTATCTCGTATATTAAAATATTATATATAAGTATACTTTATTTAATTTGATGCGCATCATAAATAACCAACCATAAATAATATAAATATAAAATATATATTAATATAGCCAATACGACATTATATCAGCATTTATCATACACACTTTTTATTACAGTACCTACCTATATTTTAGTAGGTATATACAGTATTTCAACGGTATTGTATACGCGTTGATTGTTAATCGTCAAATGTTTCCGGAAAGCATTGTAACAGTAGCAGCTGCTATAAAGTTTTGCTGTTCGTAAATATTGTGAATTTAAAACACGCAGCTCTGGTTTAGGTACACTAGTCGGCATACTAACGCAATATTACTGTATATCGAGGCACCGAACTGATACCGGGTATATAAATCGTTATAACTATAATAAACTAGTCAGAGGCACAAATATTAAAAAGATTTTTTTTCGAAAGGGGACATATTTTCATTTAACAGCGCAACGACCGACGCCCACAAGGACATTTTTATTTTATTCTAATTACTACGAGATGTGGGCAAACTGGGCAAAAGGCGGGAATCGATCATCCCACTTCATATATGTTGCAGAGCAGTTATAAACTATATAACTCGTTATTGTAAGTCGTTCTATTTCCCAGACGATCAAAGTCGACAAATGTTCCTATACATCGTATGTTTCCTATATTCCTAAATATTATTTCGTGATTTTCATTATACAAGCACTGCAGAGTATAGCTATTCTCGTTCCGTGACCCACAGGGTAATAATTAATAAACTACACACAATTCGTCCAAGGAAATACATTCTTGCAAACCAAGGCTGACCTGACCTGATGCCAACCTATAACCTAATCATCGGTAACAATAAGGGACGCTATATTATATAGGTAGGCATTACATGGAGCAATGTATCTGCACAAGTGATATTATTTTATTGCGTGAGATTCAATCCTCTTCTTCGTGTTACATATTATACTCACCGATACAGCAGGAGTGTCTATTACACGAATGTGTTGTGGGTGTTTGCGTAGGTGCCAAAACTATATATTTTAAATTCTGCCTGCTCTGTTAACAGTGACACCGGTCAACGTTCTGTAGTCTGCACCCCATGCCACTGTATAATAATATAGTGTTTACATACACCTATGTCCTATATGATACCATCCTTATACCATTTTACTTATTCAATTGTTTTCTACAATGTTATTTGCGCGTTTAATGTTTAAAATTGAAATACCAAAAATATAAACCGATTAAATCGATGGGTAACAAATTACTAATACCTATTTAATTATTTGGTGTTGTTTATAACTTTGCAATTGACCATCATACAATCTATAGGTATATCAGTATATCATTCAATAGGGTCATAGGGATGTAAGAGAGGCAATTTTCACCATCATATATTGTAAGGCATATTATATCAATAATAAACGACGAACCATAGGAAAAAAAACATTTTATTTATATTTATATATTACAAGCACAGATTATTATGCCTATAGTGTCTAGTGACTTCAACAAAAATTTAAAATGTAATAATAGTTACCTATCATAAATCTTATCTCCGCGGCCTAAATCATGAACGACTATTGCCAAACGTATAGTCAATGCTTAGTGCCTAAATTGTATATGCCCAATTAGAATAATATAGATTTGCAGGTGTTAATAGCCAGTGCTTTGTTCACAGTGCCCGTTTACGAAGTCATCAGCCTGCACTCGATCGCCAAACGGGATGCGGACGGTGCGCACAAGGTTCGACTGAAGGCGTTCGGAGAACACCACGACTTGCAGCTAGAACCTTCCGATCGCCTTTTTACGGGCGACAAATTGCGTGCCTGGACGGCACATCACAACGCCACCACGGACACGGTGCACTACACCGAACTACCGAACGACGTAAGTCCTCATCGATATTTAAAAAAAAATATTATAATATCAATTAATTTTTTAATATTTTGTTGCTTTGCCGACATAATAATACATTACAAGCACCTGTTGGTTATATTTAGCTGCAGTAGACACTTGCAGTGGGTAGATTACGAAATAGGTACACTCTATAAATGATTTTTAATAAAACACCCCGATAAATGGCCTGAAACCGAATAAAACTTTCATGCATTTCACCTTAAAATTAAGTACTAGAAACAAAAAAAAAAAATTGCGATGTTGCGATATAATATGACAATCAGTTTTGTTTAACTCTTAAAATTCCGGCGACATCGATCGTTTATTAAATATAAAGTAGTGACTGCAGTGTCCTGGTATTTGGTAGCGTAGTCGGTGGTTGATAAATTATCACGGATAAATGACAATATTAATAATACCATAGACTGCTCACTATAAAAAAAAATATCCACAAGTATTATAATTATATTCAACTACCTACCAGCTATAAACACGGAAAGTAACACGATGGGCATCCTGTATAATATACGAGTTATGTGTTAGATTTTGGCGAGGACGTTCTTTTCCTCCCTTTTTAATCGACGATTCGTATTCCGAAAATGCATCGTGACGCATTTTAATATTTTATTGTATTTACTATTTACGATTTGACGTCAAAAAACCTAATACCTACCTCCTATACGTATAAGGTATTATATTATCTACGTCGTTGTCGTAATTTTACGGGTTATACCGGTTGTACAGTTGTGCACCTTATGATTAGAAGATACTTTTATACAGAAAAATCATTTTTAAAACGAAAACCTAATTTCAGCATACTTTAATTCCTCTATTTTAACCACGACATTATAATAATCAATTATATTATATAGCTACCTAACGACTTTGAACTTTAAAAAATGGCAAGCGTGTTTATAGCAGATTAACTTCAACGTTTCTTCAGATATCCTAATATTACTGAATTCGTTACATTTGTATACAAATCGATGGTCTTCGACGATGGTCCTATATACATATACATTATACAATTAATAAAAATCATATATTTTTTATTTGTATTGGATTAAGGCTTCGACGACTGAGTTCACTAGCCTATATGGTTGCTAGGGTTAGGACGGTTGGTTAGCAACACGTGTAAATGTGGCAAGGTTTTTGCGCACTACGAACCCGGGTGGTCACCCATCCGGGAACTAGTGGTGGCGGCCATTACTTACTCTCAGTCACGTTGCTTAGGTAACTTATCACAGCCAACTCGCCAAGCCAAGCCACAATTACATATTATTTTTATAAACAAACTCGGTGGTTTGATTCTAGAAATGGTGTAATTATAATGTGCATAATGCATAATGCTATACACGATGTCATAACAAATTCAAAATAATTTTCGTGTTAATTTACATGTTTTGATAGATTTTAAATGAACACGTCATTTGCATACATTCCTGGTGGACATTTTAAGTTTATTACCGATATTATTTATTGATTATTACATTTATTATGACTATATTATATATTATATAGTAGACATAATAAAGTCAATAATAAATGTTATGACTTAAGTCTTTTTAAAAACTAAATAATAAAATAAACATAAATATTATATTTTTCTAATTCTAATATTTTTAAAATAATAATAATTGACTAACATCAGCTGTGTCAGGAATTTGGTTTGGGGGGGGGGATATACGTTTTTAGCAAACATGAATGGTCATTGTCAATACTTTGATCAAAATGTTAGAAGTAAAAAAAAGTTTTGGGGGGATCTATCCCCCTAATCACCCCTAATTACGCCCTAATGACCATTCATGTATATCCCCCCCCTCTTAGACTAAATTCCTAATTACGCCACTGCCCAACGGCTCTTAACTGTGAATGTATATACTCGATAAAAGTTCACTCTATAAAAGGTTGGTGAGCAACTGGTCGTTGATTTAAAACTCGAGTCCAATGCAAAGTCATCATCAATTATCTATCGATGTATCAATTATATTCCATTCAAAAATATTTACCTGATAATTGACAACATTGTCAAAAAAATGACAACTTTGGGCCTTCTAATTTTTCCTGTTGCTTCTGCGATTAAAGTTTAGCGCACGCCGATGATGTAGGTTGTAACCTGTAGGTATATATACCCATATAATATGTTAAATTATTTTGTATTATATGTACAAAATATTATTTGGCTTATGATAATATACTAATATGCATATCGTTTATAATGTCCCCACTCGTCTTAATAAGTACCTAGTTATAATATTGTAAACATTGACATTTATTTAATGAAATATATTTACTCCGCTTTCGGTTTTAATATTTTTTTTTTTAACCATTTCCTATTCTTCGCAATAATATAATATGTGTTAGAACATTTTCTTCGAAGTTCAAACCGGTTTCCAACTTTTTGCCCGTAAACGATAACGCTTATCGTCGTGTTTCCTGTTTTTACCCTAACTAAAACCTGCAAGCGTGGGTGACGGTTGTCTATACATACTTGTATGTGTGCGTCCGTGTTGGTATTATATTATATTATACAATTCATGTTTGTTTATGTGTGGTGTTATCTGTGTATTGTGATGTCACTCGTCGAGGTTACTATTCAATAATAATAATAATGGAAACGTTAGATAATGAATTAAGACACACACATGGCAAGATAGGTACTAAATGAATAAAACATTGACAATACCCATATACTCGTTGCGGCCGTTCATCATTCTACGCAAAAATAAAATTACAGAGGTGATTATTTTATAGCTCTGAACTCATTATACTTAAAAACATTGTCCTGGTCAACTTTTGTGTTTCTATGAATATTTTTTTTTTTTTTTAGAATGATGAATAAAAGTAATATAACTACCCACTTACCTACAATATTATAATAATTCAACATTAAAATACAAATAGTTTTATATTCTTATAAATGTTGATATTCAAAATGTGCATATAAAAGAATAGGTATATTATAATAGTTATGCTTTACAATATGAAGTAAGTACTTAAAGTTGTATAAAAACATTTCATCAAAAACTCAAAAATTGACTGGGAAGTGGGATGATTGTAAAATGTTGAAGAATACAAAAATTTATTTTTGGTGGGGGAGTAGGTTTATGTAGATGTATAAAATATATTTGTAGTTTTATAAAAACGCTACGCAATCTTCGTGTAACAGAAAAAACAAATGTTTAGTCCGGTGGTGAAAGTGTAAACATTTTCTTGTGTACGGTAAGGCATTTTAACAACAAGTTTAAATGAAAAAAAAAAACCATGTTACGATTTTAATAAATTAATTATATACTCTCCTCCTCCGGGACGCAACGATTTTGGCTACGTTTCAAATATTCAAGTCTCACATTATAACGATGACAAGTATTACCTGCATATAAGTGTGCTCGTCAATTAGCTAGTTTTTGCATTGGTTATTGGATATATTTTTCTTTCGCCAGCTGTAGACCAGCTTGACGAGTATTATGAAACGATACAAATGATTCGTCGCTACTACCAAGTGGAATATATTATACTATAGACTATAGTTATAGTATGTATTACATTCGACTTTCGATAGTTTAGACCTTCGATACAAATCAAAACTTTCGGTAATTCGAAATAATTGCTCGTTCCCTTAAAAATCTCGCAGTAATTTGAATAAAAACAATGCATTCGAGTATATACTCCGATTGATTTTGGAAATTTTCAGTTTTTATTTTAATGGAATCTGCAGTGCAGATTTTTCCATGTAAATTAAATTTTAAAAAAAGTTAACAATTTTTGTAAAGTCTTTTCTTTATTTACCTAAAATGTAGGTAGTTTACTAGTTCAATAACATTTTTAACTGAGCATTGGTAGTAAATATCCGGTATCAATATTTGATTTTGAATCAATTGTCAATTGTTATCGAAATCCTTTTGTACAAATAACATAAACTGTAAAACCTAAGATTACATGAATTGAAAATTGAAAATTGTCGACGTCCAGTTGTCTGCTACCAAAACGATTTCCGCAACAGTATTTAAGACTTGTTTAAATGCATACAAATATAATATAGGTAGCTATAAATTATAATAATATGTTTATATGTGTTCGTTGTGTGACACGTCAGTATGGCTAACATAAATATGTTTTTGGGCTGGGCATCATACAAGTTTTTTTTTCTGCCCGATTTTTCGTAAGGTTTTCGTCGTATGGTTACTTATTATTTTATTGACAAAAACAGATTTATGATTCATAGATTTTTCTAGTAAATGAAAAATATCGAGTATCGTGCTATGGTTTTTTTTTTAATTACTTAATCCACGCACATTCATCTATATATTATTATGTTCGTTGTACAATATAATTTATAAATATCCATCCTATGTATACCTACAACAACCGATATGAATATTCAAATAAAAATTGTTATTGTGTACACGTATGGACGCATATTATTTTAGTTCTTGTACCTATACACTTGCACATTTCAGTATTTCACATACAAGCGCGGGCACACTTTACGTAAGAATAAACACCCACACGAGCGAGTTTATCACTCGCGATAAGGTGTGGTATACAGTATTTTTAACGGCCAATACGCATTTTAAATGTACACGATATATATGCAGTATGCACCTATATATTATATTATTATATACCTCACTGTACAAGTGATTTCTCCGCGAAATTTAATGATAAAATTATACCAAATAAAACCAACACGCTCGTTCTGCGCACACGCGCGCGCGTCTATTACGATACATAATACTTTAACGTATTGCAATTTACTGTCGTTAATAATTTATATTTATAATAATATAATACATAAATACGTATCCCGTACAAAGAGCTCGCGTAGGTATATATTTAGATAATAATATAATAGAAACGTACAAAATACGACGTGCTTCAGGTACATATATACATATATATATGTAACATTACGTATTATGTAACTGCCCGGGGCCCAAAACCGCTGGAGTTGTTTTCATTTATATTATATATTTATTAAATCATTATGA